ACGCACACGCGCCCGGCGTGAGTTTTAAGCCACCGGGTCCGGGACGTGAACCGCGGTCGACTACGTGGGAGTCCAGCGACATAGCCATTACGCTAACTGCTGGTTCCCGAGAACGGGTTTTATAGGTCTGTCTGCAGAACCCTCCTGAAGGGTGGCTGGCTGGGGATGGTTTCCGGCACCCAGGTGAACCCCTTCCCTGGGGCGGCTCGTCACAACGGCCCCATTCCACTGCTGCGCATGCTGCTCTCCCTGCGAACTGCCCCACTCTGGCCGCATCGGTGCACCCCTACCACGTCTGGGATGAGAGTGGGGCTGGCGTCGTCACCCCTGGCTGGCAGACCAGGAACAGAAGCTCAGAGGGGTAAACACACTTGCCCACGGTAGTGTGGTCGGTGGCAGAGGTGGGACTCAAGGTCGGGGTGGACTCCAGTCCCCAGTCCCATCTTCCTCCTCACTGTCTGGAGAACAGTGGCCAAGAAACAGCCGAAGTGCGTCCTGCCTTGGCCTCCGCTCCCTATTCACCAGCCTCCTCTCCGGTCAAGGGTGCACCCCATCTGCAACCTCGGAGCCTCACCAGGCCCTTCCTGCACCCCAGGGGCACCCGAGGACACCGGATATTCCCACTCGAGTGGCCTGCAAGCCTGGCTGCTATGCCCAGGACACCGTCCTGCTGAGCTTGCCAGCCCCAGCTGGGTGGCCGCCCAGTCAGAGGAGCCTGTGTGAGCCCAGACGTGGACAAGGCCTGAGTGGCTAATGACCCTGGCCCAGGCCTGGCTACAGGAAGTTCCTCGTTTCTGTGAAAGCTCGCCCTGGAAGAAACCGCCCACACTGCATCAACTGGAACCAGAAACGCCTGGGAGGCAGGGCTGCAGAGGCGGGGCGCGGTGGGAGGCCTGCAAGGTGGCCATGGAGCCCTGGACGTGCTCTGCTACCCAAGCTCGGCCGGTTCCCTCTTCACAGGCCCCTCTACCTCCTCCCAAACGTCTTCCTGCCAAAATCAAGTTCCACCGCTGGAAGGCATTTGGTTTTGCCGGGGCACGAATTAGCCAGCGAGGGGGGAAGCACCACGTCCACCGCACCGCCAACCCTGCTTCTCCCTCCACCCTGCCGGATTTGGAGGACTCACACGGAGGCGTGCTGTTCAACCACTGAGGCTGGAATTCAAACTGCAGTCAGCCACTGGGATCTAGCTGCCCTAACCACGGGGCCAGGGACTCTGAGACCCCTCCTCCTCTGAACAGACGGGTCACAGAGGCCTAGAGGGAGGCGGCTTTTTCAAGCCACCCAGCAGCCACCACACAGTGCCGGAGGCTGCCGGGCCTGGCAGAGTCCCCGGCAATGCTCAGTTTCCTAAGAAGCCTACGAGGCGATCGGCCACCCCACAGGGACCACAGGCGCACACAAGGAATCTGAGTTTGCAAAGGAAGGGACAGAAAACCCCAGTTCCTGTCCCAAACCTGTCACCTCACTCCCACCTGGCCACCGTGACAGCAGACAGGACACGGGCAGCCATGATCAAGGGACACTTAGCGGCAACCTCTGCGCCTCGTCTGACATGGGCACAGTGACGGGCACAGCAAGGGCTCCCAGTGCCATGTGTGGCCTCGGGGCAGGGCGGCCTCTGGCATCTGCCGTGCAGACAGGAGGTGGAGGAAGACAGGCCCAGGGCTCCTCCCAGCCTCACTCAGACGTCACGGCACCCAGCATGGCCAGGCAGGGCCGTGGCAACCAGTCGCAGATGGCAGTGCGTCTCTGCTCTGCTGAGTGGGTCTACGTCACGGCTGCAAACAGCTCCTCACGGCCTTCCAAAGCTTCAGGCAACAACGAACCATCTCCGAGAACACCCCGGAGACGGGCAGAATGATGTCCTCCCTGTAGGAGGAGGAAACCGGGGCAGAACGGAGAGAAGACTTGGCTCAGAGCACCCTAAGAAAACGCCAGCCTCCTGTCCTTTTCCACGGCAGAGGGCAAGGCGGGAGGAAGAAGAGGAAGGCGGGAAAGGAGAAGGGGAGGACCGGGGGAGAGTGAGGAAGAGGTGGGGCGGGGCGGGGAGACCACTGCCCTAGCCAGCGCCTCCGTAGGCCTGGGGCCCCCGAAAACCCCCCG